AGCTAAATCATATGAAACTGCCTTTTCGTATGTTAAAACTGATCAAATATCAAGAAGTTCATATGGTTTACTGTAATACTTTCTCACTTAAAAATATCTCATGGAAATCCTGCCAAATGACGGCAGAGCGCTAATTCATTCTTTTATCAGGCCTTTACTGTGTCCTGGGTGTGGGTATATCATCACTTATTCAGCGGTTTGCATACTGGTGGGCTTTGACTTTCCTGTCTTCTGCCAGTCGAAGCGGAGCTGCAACAGCCATCCTCGTACGGTCGTCCTTTGTAAGAGAGCTTTTCTTACCAGGGATACATTCTTGGGAGTCCCTTTACCAAAAGAAGTATGTATATATATATGTATTTTTTTATTTGAGTTCATAATAGTTTATATCATTGTGAAATTTCAGTTGTACATTATTTCTTGTCTGTCACCACATGGGTGCTCCCCTTCACCCCCTGTGCCCACCCCCCACCCCCCTTCCCTGGTAACCACTGAACTGTTTTCTTTGTCCATGTGCTTGTTTGTATTTCACATCTGGTGTTTGTCCTTCTCAGTCTGGCTTATTTCACTTAACATCATTTCCCCTAGGTCCTTCCATGTTGTTGCAGATGGAATGAATTTGTCTTTTTTCCTGGCTGAGTAGTATTCTATTGTATATATACACCACATCTTCTTTATCCAATCATCAGTCGATGGGCACTGGGGTAGTTTCCGTGTCTTGGCTGTTGTGTATAGTGCTGTGATGAACATAGGGGTGCATATGTTACTTTGGATTGTTGATTTCAAGTTGTTTGGGTAGATACCCAGTAGTGGGATAGCTGAGCCATATGGTATTTCTTTTTCCTTTTTTTTTTTTTTTGAGGAAGATTAGCCCTGAGCTAACATCTGCTGCCAATCCTCCTCTTTTTGCTGAGGAAGACTGGCCCTGAGCTAACATCAGTGCCCATCTTCCTCTACTTTACATGCGGGACGCCTACCACAGCATGGCTTGCCAAGCGGTGCCATGTCTGCACCCAGGATCCCAACTGGTAAACCCTGAGCCACCAAAGCAGAATGTGCGCACTCAACCGCTGCGCCTCCGGGCCGGCCCCTGGTATTTCTATTTTTGGTCTTTTGAGGAATCTCCATACTATTTTCCATAGTGGCTGTACCAGTTTGCATTCCTACCAGCAGTGTATAAGAGTTCCCTTCTCTCCACACACTCTCCAACATTTGTTATTTTTAGTCTTAGTGATTATAGCCATTTTAACAGGTGTAAGGTGGTATCTTAGTGTAGTTTTGACTTGCATTTACCCGAGAATTGGTGATGTTGAACATCTTTTCATGTGTTTATTGGCGATCTGTATATCTTCCAAAAGACGTATATATTTTTTATTTTGAGAGATGTTGCCCAATTGCTTTCCAAAAAGGCTGGTGCCCACTTCTCTCAGCAATGTATGGGAATATTCTCTCTCTGCATTCCCACTTGCAATAGCTGTTATAGTTCTTATTTTTGCCCAGTTTGGGTGTAAAGTGGTGTCTCATTATTACTTTTAATTTGCATATTTGGCTATCTTTTCATGTGCTTGTTGACTATTTGGATTTCTCTTATGTGAATTATGGCATCATATCCTTTGCCCATTTCCCCATAGGGTTATTTTTTCTCTCCCCACCCCCACCCTTTTTTACATGGCTGAAGCTGACCTGAAGTCAGTAGTTTAGGTATTGTTGTCATTGACTGTGAGTGCCCAAGCATCAGTTAAGTTAGGTACATTGTTGGTACTGAATGTGTTGAGTTTAATTACGATTTTAAATGTCTTAAAAGTTACAAAGAGGTTTGGCATTACAATGAAAAAGTTATAATGTACATAAAAAGGTGCAGAAACAGAATAGTATGCGGTATGATAAAAATCTATGCCTAAAAATAGTCTGAAAGAATGCTTTAACAAAGTATAAAATAAAATTTAAGCTATAAGAAAGCATTGTGCATTAATTTAATTGTAGCATTTTTCTTTATTAGTGGTACATAAATAATGGTGTATTTTAAAAGAAATTATATTTTAGAGTCAATCAAATACATATTTTGTCATCTGCATTACAAACATTTGTTTCATATATGTCATCTGTATATTGACTTTATTTAAGGCATCTTTTGCCTACAAAAGTTTTTAATTTTTATATAGCTAAATATGTTGACTGGGTTTCCAGACTTGGTTAAAAGCATTTCTCCCATTGTTAGACTGTATATGTACTCTTTCGGATTTTCTTGCAAGATTTTAGTTTTGTTTTTTAAGAGACAACGCGTTGAGAGTGAAACCGGTGGCCAGATAGCCATTAATGATTATTCTTAAAAGTCATGTAGATAAACAACATATTATCAGACTCTCACAAGGTTCCTTATGGATAACATCTCTGATGCTTGGGTCACCATGGTAACAGGTGCTTAAGTGGTTTTTTAGGAGCTGAGAGTCAACCCCTTGTCCAGTTTAGGCCAGTTGAGACCACCAACGCATCAACTGAGCCTGTGAGAATGTCTGATAGGTGAGCCTTTGAGGTTAGGGGGGCAAAACTCCACCCTCAGATCATGCTACCACCACCACTTTGTGAACATGCATCCTATGAAGAGCCGTGAAGCTTGATTACACTTGTTCAGATCATCAGTCACGTCACTTTTCCTTACCTCTGATCATCTATCCCCACACTTCAGACCACCTTGCCCGTTTATCCCATAAATATCCTTAATCCTCATTTTCGGGAAGGCAGATTTGAGACTTGTTCTCCCATCTCCTTGCGTGGCTGCCTTGTGAATAGACCTTTCCTCTGATGCAAAACTCGTTATCTCAGTGATTGGCATACTGTGCGGCAGGCAAAACGGACCTAGTTCGGTAACAAGAGTTTAATACAACTGGAATTATTTCTAATATGATTCAAGATAGGGATCTATTTTTATTTTCTTCCAGATTGATAAATTCTATAGGCTTCACTTATTAAACAATTCATCCATTTCCTATGGACTTGAGCTACCATCTTCGTCATTTAAAAAATTCTCACATCTACTAGAATCTATTCTTGCATCCCAAGTCTGTTCCATTGGTTTATTTGGCATTTCTCACACCAGTATCATAACTCTTGGCTATAATGACTTTTCAGTATGTTGTGATATCTGGTGAGGCGAGTGTCCCATCACTGTTCTTTTTCTTAGTTTTCTTGTCTTTTCTTGAACCCTTATTCTTGCGTGTAAATTTTAAGATCTTTATATCTAGTTCCAAAATCAAAATGAAACCCTGTTTGGATTTTAATAGAAATTGCAATAAAGTTTTATCTTATTTGACAGTTATGATATCAAATCTTTCTCAAATTTAATATGCTTTTACATTTATTCAAAACTTGTCTTATGGCTTTTAATAACTTTTATTTTCATTTTCTTCCTCTACATTTTCTTATTATTAAATTTATTCTAAATATTTTAATTTCTCACTGCTATTAAGGATGGAATATTTCCCCCATTTCATTCTAGGTGCTCATTTTTAGAGCAAGAAAGATACGTATTTCTGTATATTTGTTATGAGGCAAGTCCCTCACATGAAAGTCTCCTATGAATGCTAGTATTTTTTATTAGAGACTTGGGTTTTTCTAGATATTCCATCATGTCATCAGCAAAAAGATATAGCTCTCTCTCTTCCAATATTTGTGCTAGCTTTCTTGTATTATTGTATTTGATAAATTCTCCAAGACAATGTTAAAAATAACGTGCTGGCAAGTTTCTGATTTTAATTGAAATGGTTTTAGTGTTGTACCACTTAGGATGCTATTTTCTATTGTCTTTTGTCAATTGTCTTTGTTATATTTAAGTAATTTCCTTCTATTCCTATTTTACTGAGAGTTTTTAGTATATTAATTAGAACAATGATTGATAAACAGTAAGTGCTCTAAAACTACTTTTTAAACAAATAAAGATACATTAGTAATGACTGCTGAAGTTTATTAACATCCTTTTCAGTAGCTATTGACACGATCACATGGTTTTTCCTTTTGAATTTGATGTTATGGATTATGTCAGTACATTTCCTCAGATTGAAACACCATGGGGAAAACCTTGCTTGATCATATATGTTATTTCTTTAATGCATTGCTAGTTCTATTGCTTATATTTTATTTAGAATATTTGAAATGTAGTCATAAGTTAAATTTATACTTTTTTGTACTTAAAAAAGTAAATTTTAGCATTAAAGTTCTATTTGTGTCATTAAATGAATTAAGGAGCATTCATCTTTTTTCCTTAGTCTGGAACATTTCCCCTTTGTTGGGGACTTTGGCCTACTCATGGGAGTGAGTGCTCAGAAACCAGGTCTCTACTGGGACACTGCCTGCCCCCTGGTCACAGCTCACTGATCAAATGATCTTGCCAATATCGAGAATTTTGAATTGAGCAACACAGACGGGGAGTTGCTAAAACTGAACCATATTAAGGGCGGTGGTTTAGAGGTCATCCTTCTGGGCACCTTATTTCGCCGTGCCCAGAGACACACTAGTTCCTACCTTCCACAGACTGTGCTAATCACTTCTCTGGATTGCCAAAGACACTCCAGATTCCTTCCAATAATCACCCCATCACCATCATCATCATCATCATCATCTTTTTAACTTAGAAAGCAATTCTGGTGAACTTGTTACTTGCAAATAAAAGAGACAATCACAAAACCATGTATAAAATCACCTTTCTCAGAACATTTTGATAGTTTTACTTTCCCTTTAAAACAAAACTTAGCTTTCCTGAAATTCTATGATGTGTAACACACGTAGTAGAAACCCTACTTGATTTGTTCTTGTTATGGACTGAATGTTTGTGTCTCTCCCAAATTCAAATTCAGGTTGAAGCCCGAATGTGACTATATTTGGATATAGGGCCATTACGGAAGTGATTAAGGTTAAATGAGATCATAAGGATAGGATTAGTGTCTTTATAAGAAGAAACACCAAAGAAATCTCTCTCTCATCCTATACACACACAAGAAGAGGTCATGTGAGCACACAGCGAGAAGGCAGCCACCTACAAGCCAAGAGAAGAGGCTTCACAATGCAACCTACCTTGTCAGCACCTTGATCTTGGACTTCCCAGCCTCCAAAACTGTAAGAAAGTTGATTTCTTCTATTCAAGCCATCCAGTCTACGGTATTTTGTTGTAGCAGCCCAAACAGACTACAGACTAATACAGTTCCCAAAATGGCTGACTAGTTGTCCTAATGACCCATCGAATAATCTTTCATTACTCCACTAATTTGAAATGCCACTTTTATAATATACTAAATTTAATTAAATTATCAAGCCTGTTTCTGGGCTTCCAATTTCATTTCACTAATTTATGAGTGTATTTTGGCATTAGTTTTTTCTTATTTCGATTATTTGCCTCTCTAATACAAGATTTTATCTTGTATTATATTTGTAGGGCAATTTATACCACTTACATTGGTTAGGGAAGTCTGACTTCATCATGGTTCGAAAATTTTATTGGCCATTCTGGAATACTGACCATTCTAGGTAAATTTTAGAATCACTTAATTTAGTAAAAAGAAAAGTTGAGATTTTCATTAAGGAGCATTAAAACAGAGGAAAAGTGACATATTTAGAATGTTCCATTCCAATCCATGGATATGGCATATGTCACTATTCTCTCCATTTAAATCAGTAACTTTTGTAGTTTTATTTATGATGTCCCGCATAATTCTTCTTGTTTATTCTTAGGTATATTTTTCCAATATTTTATTATGAAAATACTCAAACATACAGAAAAGTTGAAAGAATTTACAGTGAGCATCCATGCACCACTACCAGACTCTACCATTCACATCTTACTATAGTTTATGCTGTGTTTTTGTTGAGCAGCAGATAGGAGTGTAGACTGCCTGGATTCACCACTTGCAAGCTGTATGAGGCAACTTCTCCAAACCTCAGTTTTCTTATCTGCAAAGTGGGAATAAATAATGGTACTTACCTCAAGGGATTGTTATGAGGACTAAATCGGTTAAAATCTGTAATGTACTGAGAACAAAGCTTCATACTATGTAAATACTATATGCTAATGCATTAGTCTGCGTGGGCAGCTATAACAATCACAGACTGGGTGGCTTAAACAACGGGATTTATTTTTGCACAGTTCTGAAGGCTAGAAGTCCCAGACCAAGGTCTGGCAGGGTCAGTTTCTGGTGAGGGCTCTCTTCCTGCTTGTAGATGGTGTCTTCTTGCTTGCTAAACCCTCACATCACCTTTCCTCCGTGCCTGCACTTTGAGAGAGAGAGTAAGCCCTTTCCTGTCTCTTCTTAGAAAGACACTAACCCTAAGGGATCAGGGCCCCACCCTTATGACCTCATTTAATCTTAATTACTTCTTTACTTCAAATACAGCTGCACTAGAGGTTAGGGCTTCACCATAGGAAATTTTTTGGGGGTGGGAGAGGGGGAAACACAAACATTTAGTAACAGCCAGCAAGTACATAATTTTATTCTATTTTGTAAATTGTTATTTTTGTAAGCTATTGATGTAGAAGTATACTTGGGAATGATGTACTCCTATTTTATCGAGGAGACAAAACCCAGCAATGAAACAGCATTACATTATAGTCATTTTTTGCAGAAAATACATAAAATACATGAAAAACCATAAACCGTGGGTGTGTGTAGGTAGTCTGTACACCAAATGTTAGCAATGTTACCTCTGTTTCGTGAGATTATATATAACAATTATTTTGCTATTGTCTATTTTCTGGTAAAGCAATTCACCTAAGAACTTACTGAATACTAGAACAAAAAACTACCTGATCGTGGTATTCTTTTAATGAAACATTGGATTCCGTTCCATTTTTAGTCTTTTCCACGTACATATTAAGTGAAAGAGGTATCGATTCTTTTATACCAACGTTGTTTCGACAAAAAAAATGATACAGATGTTTCCCGTTTGTCAAGGCTTTCACGTCTCCCCACAGAAAGATTCACAAACTATTCTCCGCAGAGGAGAGCTGGTACCGTTGAGTAGTCTCTAGGGTGGACGAGAACACAGCCCCGTTTCCTTCCGCAGGAGCAGGGCTGCTTCACCCGGCTTCGGGTCCGGGGATGCTGGCAAGCCGAGAGGGACGGGACCGCCGGGCGAGCATCCCGCGGGGGATGCAGCGAGCCGGCAGGCTGCCCCGGAGGACGCTGGGAACCACGCGCGGAGGCTGCTGCCGCGCAGGCGCAGCGGCCGGGGCTGCACTCCGTGGGAGCATCTCGGTGGCTGCGGGAGGGCGAGGGCGAGGGCGAGGGCGTGGGCGTGCGGTCGGAGCCGGTGAGAGTGGGGTGAGTGGGGTGAGCGGGGCTCGCCGGGGTCTGGGGAGGGGACCAGCGAGGAAGAGCCGGCTCCGCTCCGCCCCGTCCGCGGTCGCCCGTGGCGCGCGGTGCACCCAGCGCCCCCGGAGTCGGACAAAGGCTGCGAGGGCAGGGCCCGGCGGGTGCAGTCCTGGAGGAGGGCTTGTCCTCTCCGGTTAGGAAGGGGGAACCGAGGTTAAAGTGCTTACGTGATTTGATGCAGCCGACAACGGAAGGAGCTAGGATTCAAACCCAGATCCTTTTTGATTCTAAATCTCAGACTATTTTAAACATAGTACTACTGCCTAAAACAAAGAATTGGATTTTAGTCATCTCTCTGCTTCCTGACACCAGCACAGTGTTTTGGACCGTGTGGGCTGTGTATATCCGCGGTCTCCGTGTATCTTTTGTAAAAATCTTTCAGTGATTGGGGCAAGTTGTGGAATTCTAACCCTGTAGCTGAGCCTTCTAGATCCTTTTGTTGACTCTGATCTTTTCTGCCCAGCATTGCCAGGAGACTGCAGAGGTGGCTGCTTAGAATCCATACCTGCAGCCTTCAGCTACCTGCTGAGAGATGGAGCTCGAGATGGGAGGTGTTCCTTGAAAGCCTAGACATTAAAAGGTCCAGACTCTGGATTTTGCTACCCTGTGTTCCCCAGGTGCCTGAGAGTGGCGGACACCTGTACAACTGTGAAGCTCCCCGTCAGAGTCTCGGGCAGTTTCCTCATCAAAAGTGGACAAGCCCAACCTGGACACTCTGCCTTGTGGCCTGAGGCTCGAGAGGCCCCCGGAAAGGAGTGCCGGAGTCATCATGCTGCAGCGGCTTCTGATCACCCTGCCCACCGAGGCCAGCACCTGGGTGAAGTTGCACCATCCGAAGAAGGCCAAGGAGGCGGTGCCCCTGTGGGAGGGGGTGACTAAGATGTTTGAAGGAGAAGGTGAGAATAGACTGATGGGTGGGATGGAGGAAAAGCAGCATCCTCTAGTGTGAGAAGGAAGGGAGACACCTGAACAGAAGCATCTCTTGGGGAGACAATGGGTAAAAGGTCTCTGGAGTTCTTGATTATGGCTCCTGGCCTGGGGTTTTCCTGAGCAGGAGTGGTCAGTTCAACCTAAAACCAATATTTCAGTGTCATGGCTGTATATATAGTCTTTCTTTTCACCCATGGGCGCATGGGGCAGGGAAGACTTGCCCGACTTTCCTTATTTTGTGGTGAGGAAATGTGAATCAAATGTGGGCCCTGTCCGGGTGCTCGGTGGCTGGGTCAAGAGCAGAGGCAGCAGGGGATGTCCTGGTGAACCTGGGCAACTTGGGTTAGAAAGCAAGAAAGAGCACAAAGACTAATGGATGTGTTTCGGAAGGATGGAACAGCCAGGTGTGAGGGGCTTCCACTGGACAAATTTGAGACAGTTGTAACACCTTGAATAAATAAAATTCCACAAGTTCATGATGACACTTAAAATAGAGAAAGAAGTGGGGGGACTCATTTGTCTACATTGGAGGTGATTAATACACTGATTTCTTATGTTGAAAATAGACTATTATGGGAATGGAGTTGCTTTTTAGATCATTTCAGATCATTTAGATCATTTTAGATCATTTAGATCAACAATCATTTAGGTTGTTGAGGGAAAGCTCTTTATAGACAATACCTGCCAGTAATAAATGTAGAAGGAATGATAGAAGATTTTACTGTAAATGAAATAAGGCTGATGGGGAACAGGATATTCACATGGTGACAAAGTATCACCCCCACAGGTTACTTGCTAAATGCCAAGGAGAGAACATACTTTTCCAATGGTGACATCTGGTGGTCACTATCTTAACCAAGTGTCCCAAAGATGGGATAACTTGACATTTTGTGCCTTCTGGGTAATGTAATATAAAGCATGTGGTGTCACCCATGGAGTATTCCTGCCAAAAATGTTTTACCGGATCCTAGATTAAGCTTAAAGGCTGAACTTCTGGTTTAGAGAAAAGATGGGATGGAGAAATAGGGTAAACCCCACTGTGAGGATAGTCACATTGCTCTGGTCTCTTAAAAAGCCAATGTCATGAAAAAAGGGAAAGTTTTATTCTAGAGTAAGAGCCTGGAGGTGACAACCACTTTGAATGTGTGAACCCTGATTGCCTCCTGGTTTGGAAAAAATCCAGAATAAAAGACAGTTTGGGAACAGCTGAGAAAACATGAATATTGACTGAATGTTTAGATACTATGGAATTACTGTTAACTTTCTTGGGGGTGGTGAACGGTGCTGTGGTTGTGTAGGAGAAGATCCGTGTTTGAGGTATGTAGGGATGAAGTATCATGATTCTGCAGCTTTGAAATGGTTCAGGAAAAAAATCTAGGTAGATGAAGCGAATATGGCAAATGCGAACTATTGTTGCATGTTGGTGGCGGATATAAGAATGTTCAATATTCATGATAAAAAGCTGGGAAAAAACACGAGGACAATAATTTGTGTGCCTTAATTCCTGGTTTATATTTTTAATACCTTAAATTCAGCCAGGATTTCTTGAATTCTAGCCACCTGGCAGGATGTTGTGCTTAACACTTGAGCAGATGGAAGAAGAATGAATCAGATACAGTTTCTACCCATATACTCATACTAATATTCAATCAAGGGAGATAATTATCCCCTCGATAATTTATTATATAAATACATTTTATATTTTATATATGTATAAATTTATATATTTATATATTTATGTATACATTTATATGCTATATAAATAAATTTGTATATTTATTTATACAAATAAATATAATAGGAGACGGCCTGAGATAGATGCTAGAGTAGGGACCAAAACCAAGGTTTTGGGGAGAAGAGGGGAGAGGAAACTTTTCTTCTCATTAAGGGTGTCTGAGAAAACTTCACTTGAACTGGTCCAGAAGCTTAACTCAGTTTTTCACTGAGTAGGCCCCTGGTAAAAGGACTGAGGTGGGTGCTATCCGGGTACGTTCAAAGAAGGGTGAGTAGGATTATGTGGGTGGGTGTGTCCAGGGGATGAAGGATGGTGTTTGGAGAAGCTGCTTTGGCCTGGTTGCGGAGGATCTTGAAGACCCTGGTAAAGTGTTTGGAGTTTTCCTCCTGTCGGTGGGGAAGCTTTGGGGATCTTTGAACAGAGGAGAGGCCTGGTAGATGTGTGCTTTTGGACCAGCGTGGAACATTGGGAGACGTTAATCCCCAAACAACACACTGCAGGTCCTCCTCATTAAGGAGCCCTCAGGCTGTTCTTGAGTCGCTCTGAATGTCCCTGTTTGTGAAGGTATTGAGAGAGGAGCCACATTCGGCTGGCCTGCAGGCATTGTTTCTGTTTGGGGGATTTGGGGAGATGCAGACCTCCTGGCTCTTTTCCTTCCCCAGCTCTGCTGTCTCAGGATGCTGATGAGACTCAGGGAGAACGTTTCGAGGATGACGTGGCCTCTGGGCCCTCAACAGCAGAATTCCAGGTGGGTTGGAGTTTCCTGTCACTCTTTGAAATTGTTTCTCAGAATTTAAGAGCCTTGGACTTTGATTTTCTTTGCCTCAACTTCCTGGATTGGATTTTCTTAGCCTCTTTGAAACCAGGCTGCATCAACTGATTTCACAGATAATTCCCCACGAGTAGTAACCTTCCTCAGGAACCCTCTTGTTTCTAGCAAACCTCTAGTCGTTTATCCAACAAATTTAAAAATCGTGCCAGGGTGTCATGTAGTTCTTGTCCTTAAACCTCATTGATGTCATCTGGGGGAAAGGCAAACACTGTAAAACCTTTTTAGCAACAGTTAAAAATTAACAGGAGGTTAATTTTAGGTTCTGATGTTCTTGCAGATGTATACGCTTTATTAATGACCAGTAAGAGGGGATTTTTGGTCACGTCCTGGGGCAGAAGTGTAGATGAAAACAGAAGTGAGTAGGGAACCTACTGGCAGGTCACAAAGGGCACAAACTAAATAAGCTGAGCGGAAAAGGAAAGCAGACTTCCAAGAGCAGTTCAGCACTGTCTGTGTATCATAAATGAGCTATTCAGAAAGCCCACTGGCAACTGGCAAAGCTCTATGTTGCCAAGCCCTGGAAGCATAGGGAAACTCAGAAAATTCTGGAGTACTCAAGAGAAAACCGATATAGAAGGAGATATTATTAGAGAACAGAAGAGTTTTAAAGTGGATCTCAGCTTCCAGAGTCGCATGGTACAGGGTTCAATCCCACGTCTTTAACCTTCAAGTTCAGTTTTCTCATTGGTTAAAGGTGGATGCTAATGTCAGCCTAATAGGCCTGAAATGCATTCCAGAATTATTTACAATACATAAAAAGCATTAAATCCATACTTAAGGAATTTTTTATTATCTCAGCTTTCTGGCTTCTGGGTTCTCTTTGCATTTGATAGTTTTTTAAAAAAATAACTATCAGGGGCCGGCCCGGTGGCATACTGGCTAAGTTTGAGCATTCCACTTTGGCGGCCCGGGGTTTGCAGGTTCGGATCCCAGGCACAGACCTGGCACCACGTGTCAAGCCGTGCTATGGTGGCATCCCAGATAAAACAAAGGAAGATTGGCACAGATGTTAGCTCAGCGGCAATCTTCCTCAAGCAAAAAGAGGAAGACTGGCAACAGATGTTCACTCAGGGCCAATCTTCCTCACAAAAGAAAAACTATCAAATGATGGTTTAATTTACGTAGATGATACCTAACAGGCTTTGGTACTGCACAACACAGTGTCTGCTTTGGTCAAGGGATCTTCCTTACTAGGCAGAATTCATGCTCCCTCCACAAACGTGTTGTTCTTGCATATTTTCCTTACTAAAAGAAATGCCCAGCTAAGGGTATTTACCTATGCTGAAATGTTCTCATTTTAACCAATTCTTTCAGCCCAACAAAGGTCCGTCTTCTCCTGTGGCCTTAGCCCCTTTTGAACTCTCCCCTTTCTCAAATATTCCTGGTATTTATTGTTTTTAATCTAAAATACTATATGCTTTTCTGTGGCGTTCTTTAGTATTGCATGAGCATTTTGCCTTCAGCCAAGTCATAAGTTGCAAAAGACAACTTACACGCTCTCTGCCTTGTTTTGTAACCTCCAGCAGAGTGTCAGGCAATCAGTTTTCAAGAGAGTCTCCAGGAAAACTTGGCTAGAATCTCTTAGCATCCGGACAAGGTCAGAACAACTTTCCTGAACTCTGGCTGAAAAGGAACATACTTGTTATTCTAGGAACTGTTGACCTTCAAGGACATATCTGTGGACTTCACCCAGGAGGAGTGGGGGCAGCTGGCCCCTGGTCACCGGACTCTGTACCGGGAGGTGATGCTGGAGAACTATGGGAACCTGGTCTCAGTGGGTAAGGATGGGTTCTGTGACTAGAACCTACCTATTGGAAGAAAGTCTTTATTTCTAAGTTGAGTGCTATGCTTGGGTTTTGAGTTCTGTATCAGAGGTTTCTAGTTCATTCCGAACAGCAATTCAGGATTGCTTTGGTCTTTTCTGCGCTGGTCTTTCCCCTATACCCTTCAGAAGGCCTGAATCCCAAAGAACTATTTTTAAATTCTTGGGATGACTCTTTGACCTCAGCACATGTAGTTTTTATTTCTTCGTGAGCAGGATATCAGCTTTCCAAACCTGGTGTGATTTCCCAGCTGGAGAAAGGAGAAGAACCATGGCTGATCGAGAGAGAGATTTCAGACGGTCCAACTTCAGGTAAGAGCAAGACAGATGGGGCCTTGGTCAGCTTCGCGAGAGAGTTCCACTCAATGGCTTCTCCAGGCTGTGGGGAAGGCAAAAGCCATCTGCATGGGACCCACGAGAAACCTGGTTGCCACTCTGTTACCTTTCCTGCACTTGCCTCTTCTCTTTAGTTTCTTTGGAGTCAGAGGAAAAGAGATGCCTTTCTCATCAGCGTTAGCCTTCTGCACCATTTCTCCTGACCTGACTTTCATGATTTTCTTGCTTTTTCCAGCATTCCACACCTTACCCTGATCATAATTTCCTTCTCCTGTCCATTCAGCTATTCATGGATCTCTCCTCATTAAACGCACCGCCCTTCCCCAGATTCTCATGTCATTTATCAGGGGTTTCACTTTCTCTCATGATTCCATTTAATATTTTTTCCTCAATTTTATTCTGTGATCATAGCTTCAACTCTGATTCTAACCTGTGTAATTTAACATTTTATTTCAGATAATTTATGACTCTTTGAGAAATCGCCACTGCATTCCTTCTTACCAAATCCAATGGCTTTTAACAGTGTTCTTCAACTTGTAAGATCAGGAATAATGACAGCTGTTTGCCTAGCTGGCCTCTGTGAGTCCTGTGCCTCCCTCAGCCCCATCTCACAAATGAGGGAAAGAGGCCTCATAGGCTAAGAAATTTGTATGGGGTCACTTATCTACTACGTGGTGGAGTCAGTGTTTGAATTCTAATCATTCTGTCTCCAGTTTATGTTCTTATGTTGCTGTCCTACATGCAGAATTCAGGTCCAGAGACCTCGCCACCTCCTTGGTATCATTTCCTCCACCAACTAATTTAGTACTTTCTGTCTTGTCTCTCTCTCTCATTGTTTTTTCAGTGCTTCTCATCAACATCTTTTTTAATGCAGATGTATCATTTCTGCCTTCGTTAGAATAGGTTAAACTACGGCAGCAAATAGACTTTAAAACTTGGCTCAAACACAATAGGGGTTTCTTGCTCGTGTCCTGGTCTGGGGGAACTGTTAGTTCAATGGACAGTTCTTCTCCACCTGGCGAATCTGGGACCAAGATTCCTTCCACACGGTGGCTCCAGCATCCCCTAGGGCCTCCGCATCTTCTAAATTCAGCCAGCAGTAGAATAAGAGCACAGAGGAGCTCCTTCGGGAGGTTTTTATGGGCCAGCCTGGAGTGGTCCACATCACTTACATTCATTTGTTTAATGGGGGACTTCACTCAATCAATTCAAGGAAGATTGGGAAGTACAGGGTAGTTGTGTGTCCAGAAATGGGGAGAGCAGATTTCAGTGAACAGCCAGCAGTCTCTGCCACAATCCCCGAGGAGCCTTTTACTCTGCTTTTCTATTTCTGTAGAAACTCCCACAGATGCATTGTGAGGGTTTCAGCTAGCCCTTTGACACCTGTATTCTCCATATTTTCATCTTTGCCTTACACGTCCGTATGAACTCTATTCCCACATATCCCTGGTGTTTAGGGCATCTCTGCATAGAGCTACTGTGTCACTTCAACCCCAGTATGTCCAAAATCAGAAGCCATCTTCTCTCCCAAACGAACTTCTCATCCTGACTCCTCATTCCTTTCAGTCTCAAATACTAGAAATCATTTGCCAGCAAGACTGTATCATGTTTTCTACTGTCAGTTTTTCCCTCATTCCCCATGGCTTCTTCTTTGATGTTACTGCTAGATGCACTTCTTTTCATCTCTCTTGATGATGTGCTGAGCCACGTTCCCATCACCTCATGCCTAGGACTGTCATTTCTCGTTGCATTTGTTGATGTCTTATTTTCTTTTTCTGAATCGTTTTGAATGCTACCACTACATTTGACCACTTGAAATGTAACATTTATCTTGTTCTTACCATAAAAAGAAAAGTTAAGTGACTCCCTATTATGGATAGTAAGTAATATAAACATCTCTATTTGCTTTTTAAGTCCACTCCAAAATGTGTCTAGCTATCACTGAGCGCTTTGTATGTGCTGTTACTGAAGTGAGATTAGAAATCCTGAGGAGTAAGATTTTGCTCTGAACAGGAAATATTGGTGCTTTAGGATGGCAGGGTCTAGAATGGATGGATAGGAATAGGAAGAGTAAAAATCAGGGAAATGCCCTCATCCAAAAATATTGTGCCATGTATACTATGAATAGAATATCTATTCTCTATCCTTTAAGATTTTACAGCATAGTTAATATTTTGTCACAAATTTAGAAACCATTAATTAATATATAGGCAAAAATCATGAAGGTTGATAAAAATCCAGTGAGTTTGCAGGGAAAGGCGCCCACATATACTGAGAGCACAACCCAAGAATTCCTCTTTAGTAAATCTTATGAAATACTGACAGGAGTGTATACAAATGTATGTATAATGATAAAGTGAAAATTTGGAGACCACCTAAATATTTTTCAGGAGGGAAAAGTCAAATTACGATATGTCCACAAAGTAGAATGCAATGCAGTTGTTAAAAAGAATGAGATAAATCTAAATGTACAGACATGGAAGGGGGCCCATAAGGTATAGTTGAGTTAAAAAGCAAAACAAAACAGTTACAGAACTATATGAACACCGTGATCCCTTTTTTTAGTGCATATGTACATTTATGGCCATATATATATAAATGCACACATTCACATATACAGATTGTTGGGAAATGTCTGAATGCATGTATTCCAAAATCCTAAGAGACCAGAGGAAATGAGGATGAGATTGAGAGAGGCTATTCTTTTTTGGTGAATGTATCCGTATATTATTTAATGTTTTATTTTAATGTGTAAAAAGTATGAGATAAATACTTAACTTTTTTTTTAATAAAGAAATTTTTGTCATAGAAATATGGGCTGGAGATGATATGGTATTTGAATCCTGTCTTCTTTAATCTTGACTCTTGATATTTGCCCTTACAATAATGCTCTCTTCTTATTCCATTTCCTCTTGCAATTCACATAACTGAACTCCTTCCAGTTTCTTAAAGTCACGTCACATACTTCTAACAGCTTCTTTGACCACTTCTTCACTTCCTTTCGTATTAGCTGTCTAGTGGCAAGATCGCATTTGAAGACAGTCCAAGCTTCCTTTACCTCGTATATGTTATATTTTTTCCTTCCTGTTCTCACTATGGCCATTTATTTCTTAAAGTGCAGTGAATAATATGGGTCATTTGTAATTTTGGAATTCTTTCAGACTTGGAGAGTAAAACAGAAACCAAAGAGTCACCCTTAAAGAATGACGTGTCATGGGAAGAATTACACCATGGCCTGATGATGGAAAGGTCCACAAGAGGAAGCATGTTGTATTCTCCATTGGGAAGAGTCTCAAAATGTGATAAGTTAAAAAGCCACCAGGAAAATCAAGGAATGGGTGAAGGGCAGATCCCCTTGACCCACAAGAACACACCCACTCAGGAGAGAGACCGAGAATCTAACAGATTTGAGAGAAGTATTAATGTGAGCTCAGAAGTTATTCCAGGACCAGTAGGTCCTCCAAGAAAAAGAAACCATGAATATGACATATCTGGAAAGAGAAGTAGATACAGTTTAGATTTAATTAATCATTCAAAGAGTCATACAAGAATGAAAACCTTTGAATGTAATATTTGTGAAAAAATCTTCAAACAGCTCATTCACCTTACAGAACACATGAGAATTCATACTGGAGAGAAACCGTTCAGATGTAAAGAATGTGGAAAAGCCTTTAGCCAAAGTTCATCCCTTATTCCACATCAGAGAATCCACACTGGCGAGAAACCCTATGAATGTAAGGAATGTGGGAAAACCTTCAGACATCCGTCATCTCTTACTCAACATGTTAGAATTCATACTGGGGAGAAGCCCTATGAATGTGGTGTATGTGAGAAAGCATTCAGCCAGAGCATTGGGCTGATCCAGCATTTGAGAACTCACGTTAGAGAGAAACCTTTTACATGCAAAAACTGTGGAAAAGCATTTTTCCAGATTAGACACCTTAGGCAACATGAAATTATTCACACTGGTGTGAAACCTTATATTTGTAAGGTATGCAGTAAAACCTTCAGCCATAGCACGTACCTAACTCAACACCAGAGAACTCATACTGGGGAAAGACCATATAAATGTAAGGAATGTGGGAAAGCCTTCAGCCAGAGAATACATCTTTCTATCCATCAGAGAGTCCACACTGGAGTGAAACCTTATGAATGCAGTCATTGTGGGAAAGCCTTTAGGCATGATTCATCCTTTGCTAAACATCAGAGAATTCATACTGGAGAAAAACCTTATGACTGTAATGAATGTGGAAAAGCCTTCAGCTGCAGTTCGTCACTTATTAGACATTGCAAAACACATTTAAGAAATACTTTTAGCAATGATATGTGAAATATGTTCAACATCAAAGCACCCTCATATTGGAGCAAAAGCCTCTAAGTTAATGGGTTTTTGACTTTTGGATTTCAAGAACCAATACGTTTTTTAAAATGGTTTGACCCAATGTTATAACTATTAGTTTTGCCATATTAAAAACCCACCTATTATCAGCATTGTTTAAGAAAAGAAAGGGCATTTTAATATTTAAAAATGTGGGCAAGAAGGATATAATCATAAAGAATGAGCTTTACATTGAGTTAAGTCAGCTTTATGAAAATCTCCCAAATTATTTTTCTCATTTCAGTATGGGCCAGTGAAAACTTCATCAAGGCAGATCGGTGATCTGTGGACTGGCTTCTGAGAATCACTGTGTTACATATCCGTTTAATGAATCAGAATAAAATATAGTATAACCTTTTACTGGCCTTTGTATGGCTAGAAAAGGTATAAATAAAAATGTTGGTTGGCTCATTTCTCAAAGAAATAATGTTAAATGAAGCTTTCTAGAATTGATAGATAACCTACTATACATGAGATACTTATGTATGTTTTATGATTTTTGTATAGAGAAGAATTTGCAAACTTTTTCTGTAAGGACCAGATAGTAAATATGTTAGGTGTTGTGGCCTTAGGATCTCTGTCAGAACTGCTCGACTCTGCTGTTTTAGTGCAGAAGCATCCAGAGACAGTTTGTAAGCCAGGGTATCTCGACCTTGGCACTGCTGATATTTTGGGCCGGATGCTTTGTTATGGGCAGCTCTGGTAGGTTTAGTAATATCTCTGGCCACAAGATGCCAGTACTTGATGCCAGTAGTCCCCACATCCCTTGTGACAGCCAAAAATGCCTCCAGACATTTCTAGATGTCCCCTGGGGTTCAAGATTGTCCCTACTCGAGAAACACTGGCATAAATGAATGGATGTAGCTGTGTTCCATTAAATTTTATTTAAAAAACAGGTGTCGGGTTGCACTTAACGCAAGGGCCGTAGTTTGCCTCTCCTGCTGTAGAGAATGCAAATGATTAATAATGGCAAGAGACTCTTATGTAATGTCAAATTAGTATGTTTGTGCATATCTATGCCATAAGTCTCATCTCCTTGTCAATGCCTTTGGTATTTTGTTGCAAGAATTTTTTAAAAGTCGCATTTGTAATGCTGTTGAAGAAGCCTAGGAATTATTTATGGCAATGTTTATGCAGACTTCAGTCCATAATGGTGCTTTTTTAATTTATCCATAAGTACTTCTGGATGTATCTCTAAAAGATAAGCACTCTTTAAAAACAACCTACACCTAAAAATATTGGGCCATAATTCCGTAGTACATAGTGATGCCTTTTGAAGATAGCTATACTGAGATTGGTGGCTTGCATTTTAATTGTTTTTAACTTGCCCTTTGACAAGCAGATTTGAAAATGTGCTTTCTGTTGATTGAGAGGGTGTTTTGAGATAGCCCCCAGAACAAGACATCTAGGGGCCCACCAAAGAGGACCAGGGAGCAGGTGACTGCAGGGGCCATGTTGAGGCAGGGAAGTATGAGGGAGAAAGTGGAGGAATTGACTCATAGTACTTCACTACACTTAATAGATACTGCATCCGTCCCAACATAATTGGAGGTAGGTCAGTCTCAACTTCTTACTCTTATGTGGCAGAACAATTCAGTTGACTGAACATTGTCAGTATAAACTATCAAAAGTAAAGCTGTAAATCCAGAATTTATAATATATGCCATTATTTCTAGATTTTTTTCCCATTACTACATTTACTTTTTTTTTTTTTTTACTGGCCTCTAACTCTTAAGTCCTTGTGTGACTTTGATGGGTCAAAGGACAGAGGGGATACACACTGTTCCTTCTGTATGTTCTACCATGTTTCTATGGTTTTAGATTTCCCAAGAATTTGGGTTTCTCTGATTGCTTCTTTAAGTGGAAGTCCTGACTATCACTTTTCTTTACAGTCCCTGCCTCAATGACCTCATATAGTCTTATGGCTTAAAATACCATCTCTATTTAACTGCCAAATTCACATGTCCACCCAGACCTCCCTCCTGAACCCCAGTCTTCTTCCTGCCATCGGCCTTTGCACTAGCTGTTCTTCAGATATCCTGCAGCCTCACCTTCTCATCTTTGCTCAGCTGTTGCCTTTTCACTGAAGCCTATCCTGATCATGCTACTTAATACCGCACCCTGTCCCTTATGCCCTACTCCAACATTCCCAAGCCCCCTTAACTTGCCCTATTGTTTCTTATTCCATCACGCATCGCCTAACATTCTAGATACTTTACAGACCTCTTATGCTTATTGTTTACTGTTGTCTTCCCTTGCTGGTATGTAAGCTTCATGAGGGCAGGGATCTGTTTTGTTCACTGATGGATCACAAGTGCCTAGAAAAGTGCCTGGCACACAGTAGGGACTCAATAAATATTTGTTGGGTTGTTTTGATTTGAACTGAGTTGAATTATGTATCCATGATGACGATAGAGAAAGGCGATCTCTATACTTGCATACCTAGATTGTGTAGGTGAGGAAATCTTTTTTTTTTTTTTCTTCGCAAATAGATCAGAATTGATAGGCCTGTAAGAACTGCAAGTCATAAATGACACACTTTTAAGATCGAAGAGTATTTTTAAATTAATTTGCTAAAAATGCAGCTAAATATGGCTGATTAACCACATGAGTTTATCTTTGTCTTGTAAATGTGAGTTTATAAAAAATTGGGGGAAGGGGTTGGCCCAGAGTTCACACATTCTGCTTTGGCGGCCCAGGATTCACGGGTTTGAATCCCGGGTGTGGACCTGTGCACCACTTGTCAGGCCGTGCTGTGGGAGGCATCCCACATATAAAGTAGAGGAATATGGGCATGGATGTTAGCTCAGGGCCAGTCTTCCTCAGCAAAAAGAGGAGGATTGGTGGCAGATGTTGGCTCAGGGCTAATCTTCCTCAAAAAAAAAAAAAGAAAGAAAGAAAGAAAAATCAATTTGAAAGAAAAAAATTGGGGGAAGATAAAAGACAATACAGGAGCAGGGGGAGAATACAGCAGTAGACAAATGTCAAGACATTTTTGGTAGTGAGAAAACAGAAGAGAAGTTACTGATTCATCAGTGCCTACTGAAAAGTATACAGGCCAGAGGAGGTCCCCAGGAAGGCTGAGGCCTTGGAGACACCGGGCATCATGGAAGACAAGGGGCTGAAAATCAGGATTGGTTGAAATTCTGTGGTTAGATCCTGAGGTCCTCTCATCTACCCTACACTGTGGGCTGCTGAACGCACATCCCTCCCTCTCATGCCTTTCTCCATTCCATTACCACCTTCCCTCATCCCAAAGGAGACTAGAAGTTTGTTCTCTGGAGAAGGACTGGAGTTGATCTGGAATTGGGGACAGCAGACACGGTAGAGATGAGGCGTAAGAAGCAGGGCTAATGGAGACTAATGTAAGTCACCGTACTGAACTGTGAGACCCTCAGCCCCCTGTGTCAGTGAAAGCCAGGATCCCCCACTTCAACAGTCCACACCTTCACCCTGGCAGGAGGTTGGAGGAGTCTTCTCTGGAGAAACTATTTGCCCCTCCCTCCCCAAAAGCACTGACAATTATGGATACCGCAGTGAAAAATCAAGGTCAATGACCCAAACCCCCTGCACATGTAGACTGAGCTCCCAAACTCCAGAAAGCAAAGAGAAACTGAATGATAGGAAATACGTGCATATACACAATTTTTCAGAATTGAACGACATGAATCTTCAGATTAAAAGGATCCATGTACTCAGCACAGTAAATACCAATAGCTACCATTTATCACACACTTGCAATGTATGAGGTACTCTTCTAAGTACTTTATGATATTAACTCATTTAATTCTCAGAAAAATCATCTGAAGTGGGTAATACTGTTATTCTCATTTTACAGGTGAGGAAATAGAGACACAGAGAGGCTCAGTAAGGGTACCCAGAGAGTAAATGGCAGAGCTTGGGTTTGAACCCAGGCAATCTGCTTCCAAAAAGAACCCGTACCAAGGAACGTCATTATGAAATATCACAATTCCAAAGGAAAGGAGAATGTCCTAAAAGTTTCTGGAGCAAGATAATAGGTTATTCACCTATATGGAAATCAGAAAAGCTTTGATACCAACCCTGATATAAGTTTCCCTACATTAAACCCAGCATATATGGGATTGAAACCAAAACACTCATTCCCTGCTTACTCTCTGGCTTCCTGGCTCCAGAATCCACTATCCTCCATGGAGACAGACACAGCCAAGGACAAGCACCTGGATTCGTGATCTCCTCTCTGCAAAGAGATACAGGTTGGTGGGAAAGCTGCTGAGCAGCAAGCTCATGGGCTCCCTCCTCTCTGCAAGTGTCTCAAGGCCAAAGACAGGCTGGTGGGAAAGCTCCGACCAGCAAGGCCATACGCTCCCCCTCCCCTACCTAAAACCCCAAATAAAAACCCTTTTAGCTTTTTGGGGAGTGTGGAATTTCAGAATTAGCTGCCCTCTCTCCTTGCTCAGCGCTGTGCAATAATAAAATTCCTACTTTCTTCCACTACAGCCCGTGTCAGAGATTGGCTTGCTGCACAACAGGTGAGAGAACTCACTTCAGGTTCGGTGTCAGCTTTAGACTTCTCACAGTTACAATCAAATAATGTCTTCTAATTTTTCAGAAAAATGACCTTCAGTCTAGAGTTCTTTGCCCAGCCAACTACAAACAAGAGTGAGGGCAAAATAAAGACATTTTTAGATATGCCAAGTGTCAAAATTTACCTTCCATGCACCCTTTCTTAGAAAGGTATAGGAGGATGGGCTTCACCAAAACAAGTAAGTAAACAAAAAAGAGGCAAAGGATCCAGGGAACAGGGGTCCCCCACAGAGAGGGCAGAAAAGAAACTCAATTTTTCCATTTGTAAATTGAGATAATTAATAAATGGTGTCTGGGATCCATATAGAAAAATTTCCCTCAGATACACAAACATCCAAATTATCTTCCAGTTTTCTTTGTGCGTGTATGTATTCCATTTTTACATTTTTTATACGTAGCTCATCACTCTATATAGAATTTATTTTTGTGACTTTTGAGAATCTTATCACTGAGAAGGTTATTTCCTATATTTTGAGTTTGTGTTTTTACATCCGACGCAGTTGAGGATCCAAACATTTGTGCTTTCCAAATTTCTAGTCAACTATCCAGATGCCCCTCATTCTATGTTATCGTTTCTCAACTGATTGTATGTGCCAAATAAACTATGGACAGCTACATAGATGACCTTATTTAGAACTACATCATCCCTGTGAAGTGGGTACTATTATTTACCCCCATTTTATAAATGAAGACCTAAAGATTTGAGAGGATAAGTGGTATGCCCAAGGTTGCACAGCTAAGCAGTCCCAGAGCTGGATAGGAACTATACCTCAGCTACTGGGTTAAACTGCTGAGATGGGAGGCTGGGCTGTGTGTGACATCCATCTGTGTCTTTACATTCTCCAATGAAACATGGTTTTGATGACAGAAACATATGTAATAGATTTCAAAACAGGTAAATCTCCTCTATTTACTTTTATTTTTCTATAAGTTTCTTCCCCAAATTTGTAGGTTGAAGCCCTAATGCCCCAATGTGGTGGTATTTGGAGATGGGGCCTCTGGGACATAAATAGAGTTAGATGAGTCATGAGAGTGGGACCCTTGTGATGGGATTAGTGCCCTTATAAGAAGAGACACCAGAGGGCTCTCTCTCTCTCTTTCTCCCCTGTGGAGCTCAAAGAAGAGGTCACATGAGCACACAGTGAGATGGCCGCTGCCTATAAGCCAAAAGAAGAGCCCTCAGAATGAAACCTACCTTGCTGGCACCTTGACATTGGACTTCTCAGCCTCTAGAACTGTGGAAAATAAATTTGTATTGTTTAAGCCACCCAGGCTATGTTATTTTGTTATGGGAGCCTGAGCAGACTAATACAATATCATACCTACTTAAATTTCTGGATGAACTTTAATATTCTACACTACTTCTCCCAACTCTATGGGATGTGTGTCCTCTCCCCTTCCACTCCACTTTCTCTCTTCCTCTCTCATTTTAATTTTCCAAAAATGCAATACTTATTCATAGGTGTTGTTTCATGGGGAAAGCCAACCTGGACAATTCAGTACACAGTCCACTAGGGCTAAAATAATGCTTTGGTATCCTTTATTACAGGGATAACAATAACATAGAAGATCATTTTTGTTCTCTCGAGTCCTCTTGTCTGTTTGTGCTTTTACATCATTAGGCTCATGTTGTAGATGCTTTTGGAATTGCAATTGTTTTTCACTGAATACTAGATGGTGCTCAGGTCCTAAGCCTTCATAGCAGAGTGGTAAAGAGCTTGCACTCGGGAGTCATAAAAGTCTATATTCAGATTCCAGCTCAACAGCTCCCTAATTGTGTGATATTAGTCAAATTACTTCATTTTTCTTAATCTTATTTTTCCACCTGTAAAGAGGCATTTTTATAGGCACTAAACAACAGGTTTGTTATGCTAGGTACCCGTAACCACTCAAAAATAGAAACTATCAATATTGCAATTTATGGTTTTTTAACTTGCTACAAAAAAGTAAATGCTCATTTATGGAGAAACAGCAAGGTATAAAGAAAACAAACGAGAGAATACAGGTATTACCAATGTTAGCAATCAGAATCATTCTTGACTCCTCTTTCTCTAAACTATATTCAATACATCAGAAAATTCTGTGGTTCTATCTTCAAAAGGTACCTTTTTCATCACCTCCACTGCTACTACCTGGTCCAGTTCACTATTTTCCCTCACTTGGATTATTGCGCACTTGTATCCCCCACAGTTCATTCTCCAGCTAGCACCCAAATCATTCTGTTAAAATGTAAGTCAGACCATCCTGTTTCTAAGTTCAAAACCCTCAAGGGTTTCCCATTTCTCTCAGAATAGATCCAATGTTCTTATTATAGTTTGCTTCAAGCAATACAGCGTTCCTTGCTGGTTTGTGATATGCCCACACATGCTCCCACCTCAGGGCCTTTACCTTCTGCGAAGATGCTCTTTCTCCAGTTATCAAAGTGGCTCACTTCCTGAGCTCTTTCAGGTCTCTATTAAAATAGCATCTCATCAGAGGGACATTCCTTGATTATCCTCTATAAAACAACTCCACACTTCTTATTGCTATTCTCTTCGGGGTTGATTATATTTTATCTTCCTTTCTTCCTCTTTCCTAGTTTGAAGTTAGATATTATACTTCTGTTCTTTTCATGGTTGCCCTGAAAGTTATAACAGAAAAGTACATTCATGTAGACAAATATTTTGATGAATCTTCAAAATTAAACACATCTATGTAACGAGCTCATAGATTACAATTAGAAATTATAGCGTTCCAGAAGCACTCCTGTGCTCCCCTTCCAGTCACTATCTTCCAAAGGGTAACTTCTAGCACTATAGATTAATTTCACTTGTTTTTGAACTTTATATAAATGGAATCACACGGTGTGTATTTCTTTTGTGTCTGGTTTCTTTTGCTCAACACTATGTGAGATTCATCGATATCATTGTCTGTAGTTATAGTCTGTTTCTTTTCTTTCTTTCTTTCTTTCTTTTTTTTTTTGAGGAAGATTAGCCCTGAGCTAACATCTGCTGCCAATCCTCCTCTTTTTGCTGAAGAAGACTGGCCCTGAGCTAACATCCGTGCCCATCTTCCTCTATGTTATATGTGGGATGCCTGCCACAGCATGGCCTGACAAGCAGTGCGTAGGTCTGCAGCTGGGATCCGAACCGGTGAACCCTGGGCTGCTGAAGCAGAACA